ATCCAGGCCCTCATGACGCGGTTCGACCACAGCACGCGTGCGGGCGAGAAGCACCTCGAGGCGCAGCTTGCGTTCAACACGCAAGTCTCGTCCGATCTGGCGCATCTTCGCAAGCAGCTGGATCTCACGCAGGCGGACGTCGACGACGTGCGGCTTCTCCGCGATCCACCAGCATCTCCGACCGCGGGGACGCGTCTGCGACAGCCGGCGCCCGGCGCACAAGACGGCGAGCCGCAGGGGTCCTCGGTCACGTCGCTGGAGCAGCAGCACGGGCCCCTTTCGCACGCACCTCCGCCGCGTCTCAGCAACGGGGGGCCGCCGCTGTTGCCCACACGGGGCGTCCCGATGTTTCCGGGCACGAACCAGACCGCGGCGCACGGGCCAGCGCGCGGCGTCTACTACGACCAAGGGCAGGAATACGCCGTCAAGCCACCCAAGCACGACTTTCCGCGCTTCGATGGCGACGCGCCCAGCCTCTGGATCGACCGGTGCCTCGCCTACTTCGACCTGTACCGCATCCCGCCGCACACATGGGTCACCACGGCGTCGCTCTACATCGAGGGCCATGCCGCACACTGGCTGCAAGCGTTTCGCCATGGCCATCGGTCCTCTACTTGGGAGGAGTTCACAACGGCGTTGATCAGTGAATTTGGTCCAAACGAATTCGAGGTGGAAATGCATAAACTGCTGCAGCTTCGTCAGAGCGGCAGCGTGGCAGAATATCGGACAGAATTTGAAGCTCACATGTATCATTTGCTCGCCCTCGACGCGACTCTCAACCCGAAGATCTTCGTCACTCAGTTCCTGCTCGGATTGCGTGATGATTTGCGGGCTGCAGTTTGCCTTCAGGAACCTTCGAGCATCACACGTGCGGCTGTCCTGGCCAGGATAGTGGAGGAAGAAGCCGGAGTGCAACGACCGCGCCCGCGCATTGCTCCAGCGGGTCGCCCGCCGCCTCCCCCTCTACCACCACAACGACTTGGGGGCGCACCACGGGCAGGCGGCGCCGGGCAACCCAACGACGAGCTGGCCCGAGAGCACTAGTTACGCGACCACCGGCGTGCAAATGGCCTCTGCTTCAAGTGTGGCGACAGGTACTCGCGCGAGCACAAATGCAAGGCCGCAACGCAGTTGCTCACCATCCATATTGGGGATTTTGGGGAAGTGCTCAGCGACGATACCGTCCACACACTGGATTTGCTGGACGCGCCCGAGCAGCAGGAACCAGGGCCGGAATGCTGCGTGCTCTCCACGCACGCTGTGGCTGGAACAGAGTCGCCACACACCATTCGCCTCAGAGCGCTCGTCGGCAATCAAGTCATGTTGCTGGTCGTGGATTCGGGGAGCACACATAGCTTCATCTCCACCGCGTTCGTGGAGCGCGTCAAGGCTACCACAGTCGCTGTGCCGGCAGTTGATGTGCGCGTCGCAAACGGCGAGAGGATGGTTTGCAACAGGATGGTAAACGGGCTGCAATGGTGGATCCAGGGCCACACGTTTCACACTGACATGCGGCAGCTGGACCTCGGGGCGTATGATGGCGTGCTTGGCATGGACTGGCTGGAGCAGTTCAGTCCGATGAGCTGCCACTGGCTCGAGAAATCCCTGACATTCGTGCACCAGGGTGCCACGATCACCCTACAAGGTGTTCGACCAAAAGACCAGCAGGCGTTGGAGGAGATTGAGCCTGATCAGCTGCGCAAATGGCAAGCCGGCAATGACATTTGGTACATGGATGTTTTGGACTTGCCTCGCGCCAACGAGTCACAGCCAACCAAGGTGCCACCGAGCGTGCAAGGCGTTCTGGACAGCTTCACCGACGTGTTCGCCGAGCCCAAGGGCTTGCCACCCCATCGCCGCTACGACCATGCTATCACTCTGGTGGAGAACGCGCAACCAACAAATTCCAGGCCGCACCGTTACTCACCATTGCAGAAAGACGAGATCTAACGCCAAGTCCAAGAGATGCTCGAATCAGGCGTCATCGAGCACAGCATGAGCCCCTACGCCGCGCCGGTGCTTTTGGTCAAGAAAAAAGACGGCACCTGGCGTTTCTGCGTCGACTACAGACGGCTCAATGATGCTACGGTCAAGAACAAATTCCCGCTTCCGATCGTGGACGAGCTCCTCGACGAGCTGGCCGGAGCGGCATTCTTCTCCAAGCTGGACCTGCGCGCCGGCTATCATCAGATCCGCATGCGTGCAGGAGACGAGGAAAAGACTGCGTTCAAGACCCATCACGTCACTTCCACTTCAGAGTGATGCCGTTCGGATTGACGAATGCCTCGGCCACCTTCCAGTGCTTGATGAACGCCATCTTCGCCAAGTATGTGCGTAAATTTGTAATCATTTTCCTTGACGATATCTTAATCTTCAGTGAGACGTTGGAGGAGCACCTGGAGCATCTTCGCATTGTCCTCGACCTGCTGCGGGCTCATCAGTTATACGCAAAGGAATCCAAATGCTCCTTTGCACAAGACAACATCTCCTACCTCGGCCACATCATTTCCAAGGACGGCGTGGCCACGGATCCGGAGAAGACACAGGCCATGCTGGCTTGGCCTACCCCAACCTCGGCCACCGAGCTCCGTGGCTTCCTCGGCCTCACGGGCTACTACCGCAAGTTTGTCGCGCATTATGGCATCATTGCCAAGCCGCTGACTAACCTCCTGACCAAGAAAGGTTTTGATTGGACAGAGCAGGCGCAGGTGGCTTTCGACTTGCTCAAGCGCGCCATGGTGACCGCGCCCGTGCTGACTCTCCCTGATTTTGCTCGCCCGTTCGCCATCGAGACGAATGCGTGCGACACGGGCGTGGGCGCGGTGCTGGCATAGCAGGGCCACCCGGTGGCGTTTCTCAGCAAGGCGTTGGGCGTGAGAAATCAAAAGTTATCCGCCTACGAGAAGGAGTTCATAGCGGTCATGATGGCTGTGGATAAATGGCGCGCATACCTTCAACGGGGGCCGTTCACAATCATTACCGACCACAAGAGCTTGTGCAATCTGCAGGATCAGCAACTCGCCACCGACCTTCAACGCAAAGCAATGGCCAAATTGGTCGGCCTTCAGTTCAAGTTCTGTTATCGCCGCGGCTGTGACAACGGCGCGGCCGATGCTCTGTCTCGCGTGGGGGCAGCTTTGAACCTGGACGCGCTCTCCATTTGTCAGCCGGCTTGGGTTCAGGAGGTGGCCAACTCCTACGCCACAGACGCCGACGCACAAGAGCGCTTGGCGCGCCTGGCCATCCGCAGCCCGGACGACGAGGGGTTTGAGCTCTACAAGGGGCTGATATGCAAGCAGGAACGACTCTGGATCGGCAAGAACACAACTCTCCGCACTAAAGTCATCAGCGCCTTACATGACAGTGTGGTCGGTGGGCACTCCGGCGCGACGGCCACTTATCAGCGCGTCAAGAAACTGTTCGTCTGGGAGGGGTTGAAGTCTGATGTTGCAGACTATGTTCGTCAATGCCCGGTCTGTCAGCATGCCAAGCACGAGCAGTTCAAGCCCGCGGGCAAGCTGGCGCCTCTGCCCGTGCCCACCGCGCCATGGCGCGACCTCACAATGGACTTTGTGGAGGGTCTGCCAGCATCGGAAGGCTTTGATTCAATCATGGTGGTGGTGGACCGGCTCACCAAGTTCGCGCATTTCATCCCACTCCGGCATCCCTTCAAGGCACCACAAGTGGCTAAGGTCTTTTGGGATCACGTCGTCAAGCTTCACGGAATCCCAAACTCCATCGTCTCCGACCGCGACCGCGTCTTCACCAGTGCACTGTGGCGCGAGCTCTTCGCCAGCGCGGGCACTAAATTGCTCTATTCCACGGCATACCACCCCCAGACGGACGGGCAAAGCGAGAGGGTCAATCAGTCCATGGAGATGTACCTGCGGTGCGCGGTGCACGATGCGCCACGCCAATGGCGCCGCTGGCTTCCAACCGCCGAATTCTGGTACAATTCTTCCTTCCATTCCTCCATCAAGTGTTCTCCCTTCAAGGCGCTTTACGGAGTGGAGCCGAACCTGGGCGCGCTGGCGCTCTGGGACGACAAGACGACGCCGATCATCGACGGCGAACCCTGGGATTGGGGCGTGCACACGGCGCGCCTGCGCGAGCACATCCTTCGGGCGCAGCACCGCTTCAAGAAGCAGGCCGACCAACACCGCACCGAGCGCTCCTTCGAAGTGGGTGACTCCGTGCTCTTGAAGCTCCAGCCCTATGCCCAGTCTTCGGTGGCCAACAGACCATGCGCCAAGTTGGCATACAAGTACTTCGGCCCGTTCACGGTGCTCGCCAAGATAGGCAACCTCGCTTACAAGTTGGAGCTTCCAATGGACAGCAAGATCCACCCAGTCTTCCATGTGTCACAGCTCAAGCCCTTCACTCCCAAGTACACTCCAGTCTTCGCCGATCTGCGGCGGCCCCCGGACCTCGCCGGAACTGCTGATGAGCCAATGGAGATCGTCGAACGCCGCATGGTCAAGCACGGCAACAACGCTCTGGTGCAGGTCAGAATTCGTTGGAAGAACGACGCCACGGCCACGACTTGGGAAGATTACGACACTCTTCGCCATCGCTTTCCGCAAGCTTCCGTGTGGGATGCACCGGCAGCCAGCAACAGCGATCACCACCAAGCTACTGAAGACGGCGCCAGTTCTCAAGGGATGGGGAATGTCACACCTACATCACCGGTGGTGGATGCGGTGGACGAGTGAGTTGGGGCCCCGTGGCCAGTTGGCACGGGCCCACTTGTAAGGGTTGGCACGGGGTGCGTGTGGCGTGGGTTATAAGCCAGTGTGGGGCTTTCGGTGGAGGTGTGTGAATTGAACCTGAATCTGAATCCTCACCCTCTCTGTATCTCTTCTCCCTTGGAAAGCAAGCTAGTTTCCCAAGCCTAAATCTCATCCCCTTTTCCCCTCCGATCCGATCTGAGAGAGCGAGTTCGTGACAAACTGATTTTTGATATCCGATAACAAGTAAAGATAGACACTCTTGATAGTGTTTTAATGATGTTGATTCTGTTCTGTCACCTCTTTAAAAATGCTCCTTTCTTGTGCTCTTTTTTGTGCTTCTGGGAAATTCTGATAACGTTTGATGATATTCTCCATACTGCAGTGCAACAAAGGTTTGTGAATGCATAATTCTTTTGCGGGACACAGTATATCAATTCGATATTCAAGAGAAATGAGCATCAGACATAATGATGCAAAAAGTAACAAGTATGCTACAATAGTTCAGAGAACTACTTGGGCAAAAATAATCTCCACTGAGTTTTCTGGAAACAAGCTACTGATGGTATGCCTGTGCATTTTGTCGATTCGTCATGTTTCCTAGACCATCGACAGTTGCGTGCTTGTATGCTTTATGCCGGAGATATTACTTTTAAGCGTCAGGAGGGAAAAGGGGTATGAGACCATACATACAATACGTGAACTCTCTACCTATCTTGCTTTTCTTCGATCCCAATTGCTGCATATCCTGTATCAGTATCAATCTCACGCCCAAATCCCTTGGGACTAAGGGACATTACACTTGGTATCAAAGGTCCAGATTGATCGTGGAATTGTTTGACCCTTGGCCGTAAAATATCGGTAGAAGGTAGCGAATTCGGTCTTTCAATTGTAGGAACGTTACACTTGGTATCAGAGGTCCAGATCGATTGTGGAATTGTTTGACCCGTGGACGTAAAATATCGGTAGAAGGTAGGGAATTCGGTCTTTCAATTATAGGACTAAGGGATGTTACACTTGGTATCAGACATCCAGATCGACCAAGATCGATCGTGGAAATGTGACCCTTGGCCATAAAATTCTAGTAGAAGGTAGATAATCCGGTGTTTCGATTAGTTGATTCCTCCTTGAACACATGTAAATCTGGACGAGGTTAGTCAGATTCCCCAAGCGATTGTGATGGTGCCTCCTAACCCTCACAACACACATGTTCGTTCTCTTAGTGAGTCCTTGGGCCAATTTGTAGTGGCTCTAGCCACCCTGGCGATTCCCGATATCACGCATCAATAGATGACAGCGTGATTCAATCTAGTTCGCCGAGTAGCAATGGATCACCAATGATTTACGGCATGGAGTGCCATGGAGTGGTGGCACGGCGTGTCGGCTCAGCAGATGATGGCGCTCAGTCAAGCGATTGAGTGCATGGTGGCTATTCGGCTGATGACCCATGAAAAGGACTTACGGGTCTTTTGCTTGGTAAAGGGTTGTACAAGTCTTCTCAAGCGTGCGGTGGCGGTAGATCCCGACGCCAATGGCATGAAGGATCAACGTTCACTGCTGAAGACATCCTTTCCGTAGTTCAGCGACACGATCCGCTCATTTGGCAAGACGAATGTTTCAATTGTTCAAGTTATATATCCAAGACTTAATGTGGATCGCAGTGTCGGTGATGCACATAGAAGGCAATGTCGCGCTTTGATTCCGGGCATAGAAACTTTGCCATGATGTGTATTTGGCCCCACGTTCATGACTACAGTGTAGGCAAAGTTCAGTGCCATAGACCATCACCAATTCATGTCTTCGTTGTTATTTGTGCAACAAACGAGTATCAAGCACGATTTGAAGGAACTCTTGTAAAATATCCCAAGCCATAGCTTGCATTATGAGAAACATTGTCCAAACAGTTCATGAAAAGACTTGTAATGAGAAATCAGAGGGGATGTCACCTACTTTACCTAAAACTGTGGATAGAGCGATACTGATAGCCACTCTAAAATTGTGGACAGGGGATATTGATAGCCACTCTTCAGCAGGATGTGGCCAGATAGGTGAAACATTGGAGTCCTTAGTATGATACAACCAGTAGAACCAATAGATGGAGAATGTTAGGCAATTCACTTTAAAAACATTCTCATGTCTGGCTCGATAAGGCCTAAACATGGGCATGAAGAGGCAAACAAGCTGTGAAAGGAGAGCCCATGATCTCTTAGTTTTGATACCACATTAAATTTTATGCACCAACCATCAGGACCAAAAATTGGAAGAGGTGGAGAAGATTTGGAAATCCACATATACATGGACATAAATCAACCTAGGCATGGGTAGCCCGGCCCGACGGCCCAAACCCGAAGCCCCATGGTCAAGCCGGGCTCATGTTCAAGATTGGCCCAAATCAAAAGAATGAAAAAGGCTTGACAAACCTTAGAAATAGGGTTTTATAGAAATATAGCTATATTATTGTATTTATGCAGCCCAAAATAATTAAAATAATATCATAAATACAAAAGGTGCATCTTTTAGTTGAAGGCCCGACCCGAGAAATGCCCAGGTGACAGAAAATGGACAAGCAATTTTCTTATTGAAATTGCACTTGTTACGTTTTAAACTCAAGACTTTTTGGCTTTGATACCATAATAACTCTAAACTCATGAAAAAGGTTCGACAATCCACATGTACTTCAACACCCCCTGACTTCATAAGGCCTAAAGGTAGATAGAACAAGAACAATTAATTATTTTATTTAAATTGTGAAAGCAAAGTCTTGGAACCAGGACCTTTTGGTTCTGATACCATATTAAGATTTATGCATCAACTAGTAGAACATGAACTAATGTAGAAGGTTGGGCATTTGCATTTACTTCGACACCTCCTCTCACATGTGGATTGAGCCTAAATGGACAAGAGAGAGCAATAATCTTTTATTTTAATTATGGAATCCAATACTTGAACCAAAGATCTCTTGGCTCTAATACCCTATTAAGCTTCATTCACCAATCAATAGAACCGGAGGTTTGAACTGCTGGAGAAGGTTGGGTAATTCACAAATACTTCAACATCCCGCTTAAGTATGGCTCAATAGTGTCTCAATGTGGATAAAAGGAGAGCAAGAAACTTTTTATTTACATTGTGGAAGTCAACTCTTGAATCCAAGAGCTCTTAGCTTTGATATTATATAAAGTTTGATGCACCAACCAGTAGAAACCTAAGTCCAAAATAATGGAGAAGGTTGGTCAATCCACAAATTCTTTAGTAGAGGACACTGGTGTTCTGAACCACGGATTAGTTGAAATAGAGGTGAGTAGCATCTTGTAATTGGATAGATTTAGGGGTGTATCTATCATGAAAGATCCGTCAACTCAATTTTGTACATCATAGTCCTATTTTATTGCAGCAAAAGACAAGTGATTGTATTTATACTTGCCTTACAAATGAACTTTCAACGTTGCAATGAGCCAAAACATGTACATGCGTGATGAACAAATAACACCATATATTATACAAATAACCCAGTTCTACCTAGCAATATGCATTAGCGTAGTCGCCCATGTAAAATGGTTGAAACCCCGGTCACTAGCTAGTTGGAGATGATTGCCCACCTGAATCGATCGATCTAAGGACAAGTCAAAGCACATCAACAACTCAAAAACACCCCGAACACACAGATGAATCCCTCGTGTGGCATGAGGCAGAGCAAGAAGCCAAGAACAATGAGGCGCGAAGCAAAGGCATGATGGGTCTGATGAACCCCAATGACTTAGCACAAAACACAAGAAGGAATAACCATGCTTGGGTCTCAAGGTTCTCGATTGATTGAAGTCCTAAGCCTCAGGGGCCTAGTGATAAGTCTTGGAAATGCTGGGACAAAAACAACACGAAGGCTAGCTTGACGCATGTCGAGGCCCATGGCAGTACAATATCTCTAGGGGCGTATGACTGAATAACAAGGAATATGCTGCTAGCGATAGGATGCGACGCATGCCCCTAAATTATCTGTTGTAGTGTAAGCCCAATATCAAGGAATACCAAGAAATATGGTACTAGGCATAGGAAGTAAATGACTGAATTGCCCTTTGTTGAATAATGTGACCAATCAAGACCTAAATTATCTATAGGACTATAATATTTGGTCTTGGTCTCTCCTCGCTCATAGAGAGAAAGTGCCGCCTCCTTCAAGACATGTAATGTAGGCTACTCACACGAACCCTCAAACTCACTAAATGTCAAATAACCCTCAAGCGCACCAAACTTTATCCACGATGCATATCTAGGCAATCTAGAACTGAACCTGGGGTGCCATATATAACTCGCGAATGTAGCAAGAATGATTCATATCAAAATCCAGTAACTTATCACAGACTATACTACCACTACTACCACTCATCGCTACCTTATAGCGCAAAGTGAACCATTCCTCCCACGATGGCTCGATAAGGTCTAGACATGGACAGAAAGAGGGCAATCAAATTTTAACATAAATTGTGAAAGTCGAGACTTCAACCCAATATTGTTGGCCTTGCTACCATATTAAGTTTTAGTTAGCTGGAAAGCTCATTGTTGACCCCAAAAAAAGTTTGAAAGGACACACCAAGTTTAAGGATAATTTTCTAAGATTTGTAATGGAGGAAATCCACACTGAGCCCTAGAAACACCCATACTATCAAGAGGGGTGCTTGCCCTTGAACGATGGCTCAACACATTGCCAAAATACATCGGCGCCAAGCAGTATCCTTGATTTTTTCTTTCCCCTCTCGGAAGGCGTAGGAAAACCTTCCTTCCCTCGATCTTCGCCGGCGAGCCCGTGGATTTGCCTCCCCTCCGCTTGCCGTTCTGGCGGCCGGTGGCGGCGAGGGGATTTCTGGTGGCTCATCTCCGGCTAGTAGATAGATAAGGTTTTAGTTCTCGCAGGGGCCTCGTTTGGATGGACGAGACGCTTCTTCTTCGAGTCAGTCTTACGGGCTCTGACCCTCGTCAAGTTTGTCTGCTGCGATGGATTAGACGGAGCTCCGACGTAGTTTCCTGCCAGCTTCTCAGGGCGGTGAGGTTAGGGTTTCTCTCCGTGTGTACGCAACAGCGATATTTGGTGTCAAATTCTTCAGATCGATTCAAGGATTCAACGACGACGACTATGGATCCGAGACGCTAGTCCTTAGGGGCACGTGCATGAAGACTTCGTAGCTGTCAACGACAAGGTCAGGCCGACTCCGGTATGGGAGCAACCACAGCGGCGCATCGATGACTAGCTCTCGCAGCGGCAATGGTCGTTCGGTGGTCCATGGACCTCGATGTAATCTTTATTATGTTTGAGGTGTTTTGTACTTCCAGTGAATCTTTATAATAGATCCGATCTTTTTGCAAAAAAATCACATTGCCGAAATAATC